AATCGAAGGCTCTGTAAGCACCACCTTGTGGAAGATACAGGTAGATTGGTTTGGTCCTTCGATGTACAACAAAAGAATGACAGGGTCACGGTAAAATTGACCAGTTTTGAGGTCGGGTGTCGCTCCTCTGTAATCTTCAAAGGACAGGTGTAACTAGCAATTGACAGGCTTTTTACCTGAAACCGGTCAAATAGCTTTCCGTGACCCTTCAATTTTGTCAAGACGCATTCAAGGAGTGCAGAGGAGAGCGAAAGCCTTGGATTTCAAGATTGTTAGACTGCGCTAGATAGTAAAATACAGTAGCTATGAGTTGAATTTCATCTATATTTGACCAAAAACAAAGCCAAGAAAAAATTAACTTTCCAAAACGTAAATTAACATGGAACCAAACGGAAAAATGACATAACGTGAAAGACTTGCGGCACGTCACTGTACATTTGATTCAGGGTCAGTATGCTGTTTGGTTTAAGATCTGTTATCGCCCTTAACACTTCGTACTTATAAGGAATGGCAGAACAAAAACAAGGTGGATGAGGCAGAGGCCGACAGTGATAACAATGAGGGCGACAGAGAGGACAGAGGTTATATCAAGGTCCTTGGAGGCAAGGGCAGGAAATGTATGTTTAATGACAGGAAAAAAGTGCTTCTAGAAACCTTGGCCGTTTTTGGTTTATCACAATCCAAACGATTGGACCAGAGTTGTTCATCTATGAATTATGGTTGGCCCTAGTAATATGATGCTGCTTTCAGACGAGCCTTGAAAAAGCCTTTCAAGGCCTGCATAAACATTTGCAAAAACATTAAATGTTATATTTCAAAAACTGACAAACCACAAACAAACAAGCCTCAGGTTTCTACAATTACTACCTTGACCTCCAGTACAGCAGAGAAAGTGGAAAAAGAGGAATTGATTTTCTTAAAATTTTGTTTTCGATTTTTCAACCATGTCCAAGATAGTATACAGATTTATATAGCACAACCAGTGACATGCTTCTGTGTGATGTTTCGTACATACATTATTTTGTCTAAAGAATGGAACAGAAGACACATCGTACCAAACTGGCTGTGCTATATGAACCTATTTACAATCTCTACTTACCAACCTGAAGAAATTGTTTAGAAGTTCTTGTCAGATAAATGAAACAACAATGGCTTAAATCGAACGTCTCGACCTAGGGTCTAGGTGTGTAGATACTATAAATAGCAGCACTATAAGTATTCTATTCCTGAATCAATTTTTTTTTTAGTTTGATTTTTCTCAAATTTGAAGTACATGTATAATCAAGGTCCATACGTTATGAAATCATTGAAAATTACTAATAATTAAATCAAAAGTGAAAAATTACCTGTATGCTAACATGGGCACAGGCTTTGGAAAATTAACGGTAATTGATAAACAAAGAAATTTTGAATTTGATAAGACCACCATGCAAACTACAATGTATAAATAAACCTGCTAATCTTATTACTGCAAATCCAATATTTATAGAGATTTTAAAGTAAGGTTTTCAGTCTGTATTTTGTCATTTTAGAATCACATTTTTTCATATGATATTTCTACTTTGTATCGTTGAACAGGGCACACACAGGGTCAAGAAGGCTCCAAAGATAGCTCAAAGAATGGTAAATTCAAGCGCCCTAAACAGGAACGCAAACGCCCCGAACAGATTATGAAAAGTAGAAACGCAAAAGCAAAGAAACAGGCCTTCCAAAAACATCAGGAACAGACACGTCAAAAACGTAAAAACTTTTCCTCACAAATGTCGAAAAAGAAAGGACGCAGATAGACGTGTATGCAATCAGGATGTTGAAATGGGTAGGAGAAAACAAAAATCATTAAAAAAATGTGATAGAATTAATCCAAAAAGTCTTATTCT